TTTTGATCGAAATTGAGCAGATAGTTGCTAAACATCAGTTTTGTGATTCTATTCAATTCCCGTTTTCATGATTGATGAATGCATCGCGAAAGCGTCGATGGATGGGGGCGGGGCTTAGAATACACACAGACTAGGCTCTGTATACTATGCTAATTGCGTATTTGACTGCTCATTATACCTAAGGTATGCTGCGGCAAGTCTTTCGGGTAGGTGAGTTCCCGCACCCGCCAAAGTCTGGGAGCCTAACTTTGCAGTACTGCAGTTACAAAGATACTGATGATTTTGATTTCAATTTTATGCCACATGATGCTGCGGTCATCCTCTACAGAATACACTTTATTTGGCTGCAAATGGCTGCCATATGTTTTTGTAAGAATGGAAATTACCAAACTAGTACTTTTGAAAGCGAAAAAACCAGAATTTTTGGTATTTACAATTTTTGCCGTAACTAAGGATGCTGTTAATATTTTACAAAACTTCGATGCATACAACATAGAAGAGGTGCCCTATTGTATCCTAGTTTTGCTTTTGCCAGGAGCTGTGGATGAACGGAAAATAAAAGTTTGCGAATGTCACCTGCGTGCCAGTGGAAAGCCGTCTTCAGAACAAATTTAAAAGCTGTAGAATGCTCAACAGGCCCTGGGACCAAGGCTTTATTTTTGCATACGTCTTCTATATTAGAATTGAAATGCGGCCATGCAAACACTCTTTATACTTTTTAAACGATATTTTTTATGTTTTCATTCGCGCAATTGTAGCCAAAATTCCGGTATGCGACGTACACATGCTTTTAAACGAAAACCCATTATTTCTATTCCTAAGCAATGCAAAAAATTCTTTTGGAATTAAGTTGTAGACAAAAGTTTGCTCTATCACGCTGCGCATTTGCCAAGGTAAGAGAAGCAGTTATTGTGAAGGCGCGGGGCGAATTCGATTACGACTACCTGCGTGCCATGACTGGTGGACTTGCCAAGACTTTGTAGGGCTGCGTGGAAGCCAAAAGAGGTAGTTTTGCAATTCAAGAACTGGGCTGTATCTGCAATGGTTCGAATTATGTGTGCGCCAAATTTTTTGTTTCTATACTTCCCTTCTCGTTCTGTACGAAAAAGTACTAAGCTCCCAGAATTTTGCCGCACCCTGTAGGTTAAAAAGACAAAATCATGTGCTTGCTGATGTAACTGAAACAGAATCCATTTTCTACCAAGGTAATTCAAGCTGATCAAGAGAAGCGCTCGAAAAGCATTCTTTAATTAGTCTTTAAAAAAATAGAAAGTCCAGCTAGTTCTAATTTTATTTTTAGTAGTGTTTTTATGAACTACTCTTTCAATTGTGAAAAATAGAGCGACTGGATGTTCTTCTATTGATAGTCATGATTTTCGGCTTTCTTAACTCGACGTTTCGATTGCTTTGGATGAAATTCCTATTACACCGTTTGCTTCAACTAGATTGGCTGCTGGAAGGCGGAGCTTTATGACCTGGAAAGCGACTGCTCGCGTCCGCGACGCATTCTGCGCTTTCCTCGCGAACACGCTCTCTGATCATTTTCTAGCCTCAATTAGGTCACGAAGCCCCGCCTTCCAGCCGCCGTTCTGGTTGAAGCAAAGGGTACATGGATAGAGTGGTTATTATAGGGTTCAAAAATGTAGCGCACAACTTGGGATTTTTGATAATATTTTTGAGCGATTATTTTTTTAGATGAGTTTCCAGCTTTTCTTGGCGCAAGACTTATGGATCAACTGAACAGTAAAAGATTTATGTTTCTACCCTACTATGTGCTACCATAACTCGTCACTTAAAAAGACAAATTTCTAAAAGCAAAATGCAAAAGCTATTAACCGGCAAAAATGCGCCCAAGGTTGATTATAATTCCGGGAGAGGGCGCATAATATGTGCATTGTGTGCATTCGCACCTATTACGTTATGAAATGACGTATCATTTATTCTATGACTAGAAGACCCGAGACCGCATTGCACACATTGTCTAAACAAGCGTAGTGTGTAATTAGCAGGTTTATCTTGTTATTTATCTCGTCCAGGTTTATTCACTCTTTGGGAACACGGAAGAACAAACTCAAACTTGTTAAGACAGTGTTCGCAATGCGTTCTCATGTCTCTTAGTCTAACAATAAGAATAGATGATACAACAATGACTAGGTTGTATAGGCTGCTGCATAACGAAGGCGCATACAGTCGGTTTCAGCCCGGATTAGGCGGAACATCCCATAAGGAGGGGCGCGTACGCACCGCCGGAAGTCTCGCGAGCGCATAGCGCTGGCATTTTGCCAAGCAGGGACTGAGGAGAAGGGAGAGACGCAGACCTCGGTTCTCAGCACGATATGATGTACTGTAGCTGCGAAACGGCGCGAGCTGTTGCTAGGCGGACGCCCGCCAATCCAACTTCCGCCTAATGCGGGCCGAAACTTACTGTATCTTTGAGCGCGAACGCGTCTTCATTAGCCGCAGAGCGCATGAGGCGCAGGGATTACAACGGTGAAGATACGCGCGCGCCATGTTCGCACCTGCTCAACTAGTACCGCTTCTGCGCCTTCGTCATGCAGTAGCCTTTAGAGCCTACGATGGCAAATATCATTTCCACTGTTGAAAAATCATAAATACGTTTGTAAATCGATATGCAGCTGGCTTACAATAGGACTGGTCTCTATGTGGAGCACACTTCTTTTCTTTTGCTTCTACAACTCTGCAACAACCGGTTCGAGTCGCCATCGACCTAAGTGTCTTGCCTGTATCAATGAAGATCTTTCGAAAAACTGCGACGTTGTGTAATTAGGCCAGCAGAACAATTTTGCAGTCAGCTGTAAGCGAAAGATTTGCATTTGATAAGAAACAATTACAGATAAATCCATTTTCTCCATAAAAAAGAAGAATATAAATCAAGAAGATGATACGACTAATCCTCTTTCTTTTGAAGAAAACTGACTGGAAGTGAATTTTTATTGATTTTGGTATGAGGTACTATCTTCCTCGAGCAATCCCTGTTTGGTTTCCTTCTTAATAACATTCAAACATTACATCGATTGATTATAATTGCTCATTTACTGTTATATACCACCCTTGTGCATTGGGAAAAATTATCTACAAAATCCATCATTCTTACCCTCCCAAATTTCGTCATCCCAATTTCCTTCAAATTTTCGTCAACGCAATCCTTCCATCAACGTATCCGTGTTTCAAGTTCGCCAAAGATGGTGTCATCTTCATGCCACGTGTTTTGTGATGTCTTTGAAATACCAAATTTTTGATTCTGTCACTGCACGACTTTTTAATTTAGTATTCCTCTAATTTCATGTCAGCGTTAAGTTTGCTCTAACTGATTCTAAAATATGCCATGTACCGTGGATGCGTAATCTACAAAAAGTTGAATAGATAAATAGTTGAATAGTTGAATAGATAATATGTCTCAAAAAGGAGACTCATGTAGCCCCCGCCCCCCCGAGATTGGGTCGCGAACTTTTTGAAAGTTACTTACATGAGTTATAAAAATATGCAAGTGATTTGTTTATACTCGTGAGTAATTGAAACAATTTAAGAAATTTTTTAAAATTCAATTTAGCCTTAAAAAGAAGTTTTTTCAGGGGCGTGGCTGACGCAGCATATCAAAAAAATCTCGGAGTGCGTGGCTAACGCCACGCACCCTCACTAGAAAAAAAATTTCCCCCCCCCCCCCCCGAACAGAAATCTAGGGTACGCCACTGCTATGAAGCAAAGGTGGTCCCAGGATTTCTGTTGGGGGGGGGGAGGGGGACAGAAATTCTCGACTTAAGGTGGTTGGGCTCACATCATACATTCGAAGAATTTTTAGAAATACTTCTCAAATTTCTTACGCGCCCATGACCCCCAAAATCTTCAAAAAAAAAAGGATGTGGCAGCAGGCAAGCCCCGAGAATTTTTTTACAAGGTAATTCAAATTCGCAAAATTTTCAAATTATTTAAAATAGTCATTTTCAAAGTGTTGACAATGGGAAGCAGTACATCAGCTAAGAATTACAGGACATTCTGGATGCGCATTTACAAGTAAGTTGGAACAATCTGCTCAACTATAAACGAAGATAGGACCGTTCAGCTTTTATGTTGATTTCTGATGTAATTTCAACTGATTAGAGAAGATACAAGTGTAAGAGCTGGAAATAGGCATTGCGTAACGAGTTGTCTCGATTCGCATTTGCACACCACATTACCTTGGAAGAAAAAAACCGAAAAGCGCGAGTATTTAGACGCGGTTCGTACATGTGATAACTCAGACTTGTTTTTGCTCTAGTCAATCATTCAAAATGCGGTAAAACACTCGTATTAAATTGTTAATTATGCAAACCTCCTCTAGTCTCAGAAAAGACGATACGTTTCATCCCCCAGAATTGTTCCCGCAGGTATACCAACGTGGCTGCCTTTCGACCGTTTTGACATGTCAACTTCGGATAAGCGCCTTAAATTTGCTGGAGTCAACGTGTTAAGACGATTGGCAACCACGTTAATGGGACCTATGGAAACAATTCTGGGGAATGAACGATAATGATATTTCCAGCTTGCAAAAGTGTTGGTGAACCTTCACAGTCTAAAAACTCCATGATGATTCCCTGTTATTCTGTGATAATTATTGATTCTTCGATATTGACGGTGAACTTTCGAGAAAAAATGATGCTCAAGATCTATCGATTTCTAGCACTTATTCTGCTAATATGATGAGGTGGCACTGCACAGGCGATCTATGAGACTCATCCAACTGCAAGTACACCTAACGCAGTAAACAGAACTCATCGATTCGCGTCGTCGATGCTTCTGGAAGGGCGACGTCGCCGGTCGCAATCCGGGCGGCCGAGTGCAATCGGGGCGCGCAATCGTGCTATGCCGCGTCAGCATAACACGACGGGGCGTGGCGCGACGTCAGCGTTGCACTGCTGACGAGGCATAGTCGTATTTAAACGTTACTTGGTCCCGATGTCGTCACCAACGTTCATTTCGGCTTTTTGTCCTCCTTACCTCATTTGGACCCTTCTCTAATTTCAATCTGATCTCGTACTTTCCATAAGTTTCTAGATTTCTTGCGATCAATTTGTATTGTTTCGATTGTTATCGTGCTCTGTTTGTACGTGTCCTTTTTGTGCCACGTCGACTTGAGCGCGTGTCGAGCTGCTCCTTCACGTCTATTTAAGCGTTTGTTGACCGCAATTTCACCCTCCAACCCGTAGCAGTCTGCGGCTCCGTCAAATTCGACTTGCTTTTGCAGTTTGTTTCTACCCATCTAGCTCTCTTATCTTTCAGACTCCAGAGAAACACAACCTTACGTGACTTAACTCCCACTATCAACCAAAATGAAGACGTTATTCCTTTTGGGCTTTGTTGCCCTTCTCGCCATTGGCGTCTATACTGAAGAGAAGAAAGATGACAAGAAAGTAAGTTACATTGCAGAATGTTACAGACGTTGATGTGCTGTACAACTGGTTTTGGTTTTGTTTTTCAGGACACAAAGTACGGAACTATTATCGGTATCGATCTGGGAACCACATACTCGTGTGTTGGTGTCTACAAGAACGGACGAGTAGAAATCATCGCGAATGACCAAGGTATGCTTCGATGTGCAGTTTTTCCTGAGAAAAGATTTCTTTTCGGTGTGAAAGTTCGTAAAATTGAGACAGGCCTACAAAAGGTGCTTTCTTTTGTTTGCTAGAGAGATCGAAAAGTAGCGAAGATGAAAAATGCTTTGTTTTTTGATACTTAGGGTAGAAAGTGCACCAGAACTGAGTAGATACGAGTCATTTGTAGCTTGAGTTGGACGCATGCACACTGTGCGTGGCATTTTACGACTTTTTGCAAGTGATCCTTCAGTGAAATTCCATTCAGTCGATAAAGACTTTGAGAGTTCTACTGCTGATATTTATTACTAGCGAGAAGAGAGATGAAATCAAGGGATTTCTTTGGAAACCATAAGCTCCGATTACACAAGTCGTGCGATACCTCGCACGGTGTGCATTAAGCAATCAAGTTACAAATGAATCGACTATAGACGAGTCACAAAAACTGAGGAGTGGGATGAAGAGGATTTTCAAATATCCGAGTAATTTACTAAATCTTCCAGGAAACCGTATCACTCCATCCTATGTCGCTTTCGCAGCTGATACTGGAGAGCGTATGATTGGAGATGCCGCCAAGAATCAGCTGACCATCAATCCTGAAAATACAGTCTTCGATGCGAAACGTTTGATCGGACGAGATTACAATGACAAAACTGTTCAGCACGATATTCCACTGTGGCCCTTCAAAGTAAGTTGAATTTGATAGTCAAAAATTGTTTGATAATGCGTTCGTTCTATTTTCATTCATTTTTAGATTGTCGACAGCAACAACAAGCCTCATGTTACCTTGAAAGTAGGCAAAGACAAGAAACAATTCACTCCAGAAGAAATCTCAGCCATGGTACTCGGAAAAATGAAGGAAATTGCTGAATCCTACCTCGGAAAGGAAGTAAAACACGCTGTCGTCACTGTCCCTGCCTACTTCAACGATGCTCAACGTCAAGCCACCAAGGATGCCGGAACCATTGCTGGTCTCAATGTCGTCCGAATCATTAACGAGCCAACCGCAGCCGCTATCGCCTATGGTCTTGACAAGAAGGAAGGAGAACGTAACATCCTCGTGTTCGATCTTGGAGGCGGTACCTTTGATGTGTCCATGCTTACTATCGACAACGGTGTATTCGAAGTGTTGGCCACCAACGGAGACACTCACTTGGGAGGTGAAGACTTCGACCAGAGAGTCATGGAATACTTCATCAAGCTGTACAAGAAGAAGACTGGCAAGGATATCCGCAAAGACAACCGTGCAGTGCAGAAGCTCCGTCGTGAAGTCGAAAAGGCCAAGAGAGCCCTGTCTACCCAACACCAGGTCAAGGTTGAGGTCGAATCCATCATGGATGGAGAGGACTTCTCCGAAACCCTTACCCGTGCCAAGTTCGAGGAGCTGAATATGGATCTCTTCCGTGCTACCTTGAAGCCCGTCCAGAAAGTACTGGAAGATTCTGATCTAAAAAAAGACCAAGTGCACGAGATTGTACTCGTCGGAGGTTCCACTCGTATCCCCAAGGTACAGCAGCTCATCAAGGACTTCTTCAACGGAAAAGAGCCATCTCGCGGTATCAACCCTGACGAGGCTGTCGCTTATGGAGCTGCCGTCCAAGCTGGAGTAATTAGCGGAGAGGAGAGCACTGGAGACATTGTGCTTCTTGATGTCAATCCACTTACCCTTGGTATCGAGACTGTCGGAGGAGTTATGACCAAACTTATCACTCGTAACACCGTCATCCCAACGAAGAAGTCACAGATCTTCTCTACTGCTGCCGATAACCAGCCTACTGTCACTATCCAGGTAAATATCAGATTAGAGCTTGGATTTATTCTTTCATGCTGATTGATTCATATCTGCAGGTGTTCGAAGGAGAACGTCCGATGACCAAGGACAATCACGAACTTGGTAAATTCGATCTTACCAACATCCCGCCAGCACCACGTGGAGTGCCCCAGATCGAGGTAAATCAATTTACAACCCTCAGATTATGATCGTGGTTATTACAAGTGAACTTATTGCTTTTCTTTCAAGGTTACATTCGAAATCGATGTCAATGGTATCCTGCACGTAACCGCTGAGGATAAGGGCACCGGAAACAAGAACCAGATCACTATCACCAACGATCAGAACAGACTTAGCCCTGAAGACATTGAACGAATGATCAACGATGCCGAGAAGTTCGCAGAAGACGACAAGAAAGTCAAGGAGCAAGTCGAGGCCAGAAACGAGCTGGAATCGTATGCCTACTCGCTCAAGAACCAGATCGGGGACAAGGAAAAACTTGGTGGCAAGCTCAGCGATGAGGACAAGACGACTCTTGAGATGGCAGTTGATGAGACGATCAAATGGCTCGAGAGCAACCGTGAAGCTACCGTCGATGAACTCAAGGAACAGAAGAAGGCAAGGCTTTGTCAGATGTTTACTTCTGGTAAACCAGTGGCGGTACTAATCAGTCTCCCGATCTCAAAACGGGCGCCGCCTTATCGTTATACGAGAACCCATCGCCCGATCGGGCGCTTGCTTTTAACGTCTGAAAGCTTTCGATCACAGATCGGGAGAATGATTAATATCCCCTCAGAAGCTACTGATTCCGTTTTTGTTTCTTTCATTTTATTGAGTCCATCTCGTTTAGGAACTCGAAAGCAAGGTATCGCCAATCACCAGCAAGTTGTACAAGGATGCCGGAGGTGCACCACCTCCAGCTGGGGAAGAAGCCGAACCAAAAGACGAGCTGTAAATGTCGACAGTTCGTTATGTAGGTCTATCTAGAGACAGCAAAAATCGCTGTACAATGCACCGCTACCAACTTTCGTCTAGTTCCACGGGTGTGAATGTGTCTGCGTCGCGTTTCTTTACACATGTGCTTCGCTGCGCAAACACGAATGACTGAACGGTTTTTCAGTTTTGTTGTGTTTCTCTCAGCTTTTATTGTATATGTATGAGTTGTTGTTTTCCTTTTTTCGAGTATGTTACTCGCTCCTAATAAATTATTTTCCCTCTTCATTTTTGTCTATGAGTGGCGCCACGATCATTGAAAGGAGTTTGCAAAACTGAGTGGGAGGTAATCATGACGTCAATTTTTCTTATGAATGGTCGTAAATTGTTTGTTCAGCAGCAATTTTTTTTGCTTAGAATGACAGAATCGCATATGCGGAATCTATTAAATCATTGCGGAATATAAATTGCTACTCGTTCCGGGTTAATTGCTGAATAATTTGCAAAACAAACGATTTTGAGACGAATTATTCGTCACCTACGATCACGATGAATTGTTGTGTTCGGGACGAAGAAATTACGCGTTATGAATCGTAGGGTTGTGAGGATGGGGTACAATGACGTGTCATATTGAGCCCTCTGTTTGTTAGAAGATCGTGATGTGTAGATGTAATCAATGAATGAGAATGCCCTTTTGGAAAAGTTTAATTTGATTGAGTCACTTTTGAGATTAAGCTTCCATTTTGCAGTTTTTCATTGACACAGTTCGATCTAATCGTCATTTACGGCGAGGAAATAGGGACGCCAAGAAAGTTCGACTTCGCTGTAAAGGGAAGCCTGGGGTCTTAAACTTTGAAGGATACAAAAGTATAGATGTTGGCGTCGGCTTAGATCATAGTAGGAAACACTCGCCATATGAGAATCACTCTATATCAAAGAGGACCTTGTTTTTTATGGGGCAAAATCGTGCATGATGTGCCCTTTTGATCGACTGGGTCAAGGTTCTGTCCACGACCGTGACGCCAGTCAAACGCTTTACTCTCACAAGTCACAAGCAAATCGTCGACGATAAGCCGACGTTTACGCGCAAATGTTGTCGTCACCGCAACTGCACTGTGCCCCAAATCCGAAACCCGCGCATTCTCAGTTGCGTTTACAAAGAGAGTGCAAAGTGCCTACAGAGATTTGGCTCGGCTACCCTGTTGAGCGATTTCCATGTGTCCTTAAAAAGGTGAAGGGCGTTGAGATTTAGACTAGTGGGCAATACTTACAGTATATTGATTCAACTAGCTTAGCGATTGGTAGGCGCGGCTTCGTGAATTAAGGCTGATTAATAACAGAGAGCACGCTGCGCAAGAGACGCAGACTGCGTACCGGGCGCGAGCGGCCTCAATTAGGTCACAAAGCCCCGCCTTCCAACCGCCAAGCCACTTGACCAAAGTATGCATGTGCAACGCGAAGGCTTTGCGTACGCTACGATCGAAAAAAAATCAAACCTCGATACTGTTAAATACAAACTATTTTTGAGAAAATTTATATACAATTTCTCAGCAGTGAATTGAATCAAAACGCAGTTTACAAAAATACCCAAAGGATGTTATCTGATAAGTACATTCATATGTACAAATCAACGTAGAACACTTTTGCTCTACTTCAGCTAGCTGTTGAGATCGATATTGTAGGTATAGTGCGTGATCGGCATTGAAAAGACAAGTAGACATGGTTTCGAAGAGCGTCACTAAAAATCCAAAGAAGATAGGCACTTGCACCGGCATAGATATCGCTGAAAAAGGAAATTTGAAGACTTTTTGACCATATATGACAATATGCAGAAGTTACCTAAGGGCGTTATAGAATGTGTAGAAAACATCAGGCGTGATTCGGAACCATGGAAAAAGTTTTGTTGAGAAAAATACGAGTATAGACAATTGCACTGCGACTAAAATCTTTTTGCGAATTACATCTGCTTTTCAATTTCTGTAATTTAATGAATTTTTAATTACAATAGATCCAGTCATGTCCGACATAGACCAAGGATCTGAACCCAGCTCTTCAAGCTTGTCATATTTCTGCCCAATTTCGAATCCTCCTCAAAACGTATAACGTAAAAACAGAAAAAGCCGGGGTTGTGTGGTGGTGAATGCCATTTCCATTCGAAAACATTGAGCTCGGCATGAACTTTTATTGTTTTTGAAAACGAAATGCATTCTAACTTTTGAGATTTTTTTTTACAGAATTCCCTCTGGTCTAGAGAAGGCGTTGTGCGAAAGGTTCGGTTATTGAAAAATAACCGCATTGAAAATAATAATTTCGGAGTCAACAATTTTTTTGGTGTATAAGACAACCAGAAAACATCAGACTGGCACTTCGGAGTTGAAAGATGAAATATTTGCTGTAAATGATAAGTTACCTATCGATGAAGCCATAAGAAAAAGTCGATGTTCCCTCCTTTTCGACTCGTCTTTTGCACGATCCATTCGAGCTTGAATAAGTGACCCCCTCTAAAAAAATTTTTGTGGTAGTTATGCGGATTTATTCTCCAGAAATACCTTACTTGAGCTTTATGTCTTTGATGGAGTTTGTAGAAAAGAAAACAATACGCGGCAATAAGGTAGATGCTATTGGCCAATAAAAATAAGCCACCAGCAAGAAAATAAATGCTAGTAACTCGTTTGCTAAAAGTATCAAATTTGGCAGAGTTAGAGTGGCTGCCAAACTCACTCAAGAATTTCTGGAACTATTCCACCCGCTGAATTTTCGGTATATTGCACTTCGTTCATGAGATTGAGTAATGCAATTGAGAACCCGGGAACTACTTGTATTGCCATTGCAAGTTTCAAACGACGTCCATACCACATCTGTGAGAACTCTACAGAATATAATAAATTTTATAATCACTTAGAAAAATTAGAACAGAAGTCCAAATGAACCGTATTGAAATGTTGTGGAACGAGTATGGCTGACAATCGATTAGTTGCAAGTAAGGATACCGATAATGATTGGTTGATACCTTAGTAGGAGGCTAAATTACAATGCTCCACAACATGAATATAATATTTGCTTACCTGTTGCCCAGGCAATCACAAAATAGAGATAGATATACGGTTTCCCGAGAGCATGGTACATCCCACGAAACCAACCCCATTTCGCAAACACAGCACCGAAGTAATTGTTGATCAAAGTCACTATAAATGAGCCTAGTCAAAATTCTATTTTGGAAAGTTTTTTTCAACAGGTTATTTTGATTTAGTAATTTTAGAAAAGAAAAATTGCTTTGTGTTGAAGGTCGAAACCAAACTATATTGGCTTTATTGAAAATCCGATCCAATATAGAAAAGACTAAGTTATATTAACAAATTTTGGTTGCCAAAAAGGTCAAAAGTCGACTAAAATAATCCTATTGTTAGATCTTATTGAATGTAATTCACTCTTCAACTAAGACTTTGTTGTACTTTTTGCGGCAGTAATGATTTTCGAGTTTTTCTTTTGTTATGCTATTTCAACATGCAATACTAATTTAGTACTTTATTTGTGCTTGAGGATCTGATATCAGGTACTCTTTCTTCTGTTACCCCTTAAGGTTTTTACGTAGTGTTAAATCCTAATACCATCTTGGAAGTTTTGAGTCCAGGAAATTTATTGGTGTTTGGTGTGTTTGTGTCTGACTTAGGCTTGTTGAAATCAGGAGAATATATTTTAAAAAATTTTAAAAATTTGTGGCGAGATATGGAAAGGAGAAAAAAGTTTTGCTGTTTCCTCTATGGTTTGCTCTATCCAGCTGTTACTTGCACTCCTTCGGAGGGTTGATATAAAAAAATTCAGGAAATTTGTGAAACTTGAGCTTCTCTAAAAGCATGGGTCACAGATTTTAGTATTAGGTTGGCGCATAATTTCCGTTGCATTTTTCATCTCTTAAAAAGCTGAGAAAAGAATGTTGACTGGATGCAAAGGTCTACCCACCGGTACTGCCAATTCCGTGGTCTATGCTTAAAACACCTTTTTTTACCGGCGGGAGTACGTTTTATGGACATTTTTGTCAACTGGCTGGCATTCTTCGAAGTGATCAGGGAGAGACCCGATGCGGTATTCAGGCAGGATGTGGTCCATAGTTTTTAGCGAATGTAAGGGGATGGCACAATCATGTCCGCACACGTTTACATAGGCTACATGGAGCGCCATGTCAGCGCACATTTGCATTTTAACATAAAAAACACTTTTAAAAAATTCACTAAAATATTCCTAATCTTTTATATCTCCTAAACGACGCACAGAAAAAGAAAAATTCACGAGGATTCTTAAAATTTTTTGATTCTTTTTTCAACCCTCGTTTTTGACATGCCTGCGGCATAAAGGTGCTGTCGTAAAAAAGACAAGGCGAGAATATGTTCTTAAAAGTTCTATTAGAGAACGAACACAGTTAGACGCAGAGAAAAAATTTAGAAAAAAAATGACATAAGAATGTTGTCGTAAACTTGTTAGCTATATGTGCATTTGCGGCATCAGTCATATTGTTATGTATGCACGGTCGTGCCTCATACATGGAGCAAATTTGGAGACTCTAGAGAGCTTCCGGAATTCAAAATTTTACAAAAAAAGGTGTGACAGAATTTATCCGCCAACCTAATATTTCTCGAAGATCTCACTTGATATTCTCCAATGAACTTATAACCATTAAAAAGAGGATGAAATGCTGCATCGAAAGCTGCTCCAAATTTTCAAAAATGTTTTGACAACAAATGTGGTGCCCGTTAAAAAAAAAGCGAAATTACTTTCGGAATGATCTATTAGTATAGAGTATAATGAATTGTACTCTGAAAGTAGTGTATATGTAGAAGTTTTTCGAACATTCTAAGGATCAATGTGAAATGTCCGATACAAGATTTACATGTCAGAATACGAGCAAATGTTACGCAGATATGTACTTTTCAACATTTTCATTTGATCTTACTCATCAGTGGAAATATCAGCAAGTACTTACGTATGTCAACTAATCCTGTAGTGATACACAACTTGAAGAATGGACTGTTGAGCTCATTGACGTTATTTAGCTGAGCACGAATAAGAGTGTAAACTATCGATATGTAGAATGGAACAGTGATGATCCAATAAGCAAAACAGATCCTTTCAAAAATAAAAATTGCTTGCGGGCTTAGTTGAGTTATGGACTCGCTCATAAGCTACCGATCACTTCCTTATAAGTGAAACTGAACGAGCACAACTATGTCATTTAAGTGTTTAAAGGTCGGTCTGGCCTGACAGGTGCTAATGCCTAGAAGCCATTTGCTGCGAATGGAATTCCGAAAATTTTATAGGTTACGACACACAGCATTCGTAAGATGGAAAAGATACATTGAAAAGTGTATGATTGGAAGAAAAAAATGATGCAAGAGAATTGACAACTGGATTGATTTACGATTCAAGCTTTCAATTTGCCATTGTGTTTCCAAAATACCATCTTCTGTTTACTTTTGTGATGAAAATATTTCCCCCCACCTATCCAATGAAATGTGTAAACCCGAAGTTTTTTCGTCAACTATAGCTCACTAATATCACAAGATGATATGAGACTGTCCTCGAGACTAAGCATGGTAAAAATATATAGAGGCTGTGCAGATTCCGATCACTTTGGTTGAATTTTGAGAACCAAAGAATGATAAAATAAAGCAAATGGTTTGGGAAAAGGGAGATTGGGATTGTAAACTGTAATATGGATGAGTAAAAAAAGCATTCATCATCGCTCTCATTAAAATTTTTGCCACCTTGCGTGGAAGATCCACACAATGGGGCTGCTAAGTAGAACTTTTGGAGTGGAGCTGGTGGTCTCTGGCAAATTACGCTCAAATGCGTTCAGATGCCTAACTCCTATAAGCTATTTGTGCTCATGATTATAGAAACAAAAATCACTGCAGCTTTGACGATTTTTTTATTACATATTAACTATTTTTTGCTCGCTTAGTCTTTCGAAAATTTCACAAAGCGAATACCACTTACTATGTTGCTTAGTGGAGAGGTTAGGTACACTGCACAAGAAGTCAGAGTTTGCTATTCGATAGTGAACAACATAATACTAGAAAATGATTTGTAGGCAATTTACTGTCAAAGCTAGGGTGCCTGCGACAACTTACAGGGTGAAATTCTTGGAATGAAACACCAAAATGAACAGCGACAATCGTAAGCTTGATATGTATGCACAAAATTTAACAGCAATGAGTTCCTCAAGTACGGTAAAAGCCAACCGTAAATAAGATCGTAACTAACTAGAACATGAAATCGTAAAACGACATAGAATTGCATAAAAAGTCGGAAACTCCTTTCTGCATATCTTTTACATTTGCATCGAATCTGAACATCTACTGATCCATTATATTGTAATAGGACATCCCAAAATTCCTTTTATATTTTTTCAAAACAGCCACATCTCGTGGAAGAAAGTCTGTGTGCATTATAATCTGCAGACGCAGCAATTTCCCACCATCTTCTAGGCTCTGGCTGCTTATATAAAATTCCATGTTTACCATTCACTGCTTCTATCAGGCCGCAGCTCCGCCAAATTACAAGAATATTATACTTAGTTTATAAGAGGATGTTTGCTGTTGAAAAGTGCAAATCTTTGGCTATGCGATTCCTTTTCCAGCTTCCCACGCTTCTCACTACAATTCTATAAAGATAATTCTCTGAAAACCTTATTTGCAAAAATTGTGATGATGTCTAGTTCGCTTGTGGCTTGTTCTATAATTATACGAAATCATAGACATAACTCGAACGGTTTTGCAATCTCAAGTGTTGGAACTTGATTTTTTCGCCTTAAATCAGAATAGCCAAAGCAACTTTTTGGAAAATGATGTCTCGCATTCTTTGGACCTTATGCTCGGAAACGTATGGTGAAGCAGAAACAACTTTTGTTTTTTTAAAGAACTTGTACGATGACTATAGACCACTGCAAAAATGTATGTAGCGCGATTCCTTTGAATCGAGAGCTCGTTAAAAATCAAACAAAATAATCGTAGCTTGAAATTTTTTGCCCCACTTCTCTTTCAAGTGACTGAATCCAGGCTAGAAAACTGCACTAGTGCACGAATATTTCTTGGTTTTCCCATATTTCATTTGGAAGATAGGCGGACCCTAGAGGATTGTCAGTGCTTACAATGTATTGTCCTAGCGTCGTCATTCTGTTAAATGTCACATTTTTTCTCAAATATTTTTCCGCAAACTTCTCTTGACATGGTTATAATTTGCTTTGCCCTAGCCTTGCAGAAAACTGCAGAAAATTTTTTTGGAGTAAAATTCGAATTTTCTAATATACGAAGGGCAAATTTATTCAAGAACCCGTCATACTTCGCCAAAAAAACCCAAAAGCGCCAAAAAAGCCCAGCAGCGTCAAAAGGAGCCGAAACTGCTTCAAGCGGCTTAGAACTTTTGGTAAAATTCCGACATTATCGTGCAGACGACAGAAAATGAAGCAAAAAGCCTCGGTTGCAAAATCAACACACATCCTAGTGGCAAAACTTGCGAGCGTGAGGGCGCGTTCCGGCTCCTTTGATCTTTTGGGCTTTTTTGGGCTTTTTCGGGCGCTTTTGGGCTTTTTTCGGTGAAGTATGACGGGTCCCTTAGACTTGTTGACTTGAGGATCCGTAATGATCCGAGTTGGCTTGACTTTTATAAACCTTTATGAGGAACATTTGAAGTTCATTCTGCTTTTACAGCATGGGAGCGCCCTATTTTCGCATTTATCCTTCTCCCACTCGGGTATCTTCGTAAGCTTCACAGAATATCAAAGAAACTGTTGTTTAAATCAGAAGTAATCGATTAGTCTCTGTAAAAATTACCTTTCCCCTTTGCGACTTTTTTTTGAAAGTAC